ATATGAGTTTATTTGAGTATATGACTAATGTTCTTAATAGGATACTTCAGTTGTAAGTGAAATCATAGAAACTCATTTCATAAGAGTAGATTATCTAAATTGCCTTGTATTTTAGGTCCCCAAAACGTTAATTATTGATGCAATGGACACTACCAGTAAATTTCATATTTGACAAAGGAAGCTTTTTTTTTTTTTCAATGATTATCATAGTGTAAAGCATGCATAAAGCACAGCAAAAAAAGTATTTTCTTTTGTAGCCCTGGAATTTCCACTATGAGCTTATTTTACATGTAGTATGAAAAGGTTCTTAAAAATTCCCATAGATATAAATGGGCAGTGAAAATGAAATATTTATTTATGCGTGCATTTTTTCTTTTTTTTTTTTGGAATGAAGAAAGAAAAGTCCTATTTTGGAATTTTTGAAGACCCTTACCTACAGAAGCTGTTGTTTTGGTGGATAGCTGCAGGATACTCTTTATTAAGGAGTAACATTGGACAACTGTTGGCTGAAGGTTGTAATAGTGAAACATTGTAACTTTGGAAAACAATTATGAACTATTGAAACAAAATAGTTATTTATATTGTATCTATATATCTAGATGAATGAAATAAGCTAGACAGTATTTGTAACATCAAACTGCACATAATAACTGTCTAAATTATAAAGGTAGGGACTTCACAAATATGATAAATATGTATAGACATGAAAGCATCCTTATCTTGCAGTCAGACAGTTTATGCTGTGAACATCAGTTCTGTGCTCCTGTTTTATTCATCAAACAATATTTATTTATTTTTTAAGTCTTCACAAGGGACATGTATGTTTGAGGGAAAAATCAGGCAATGCTGTAACAATGTAATTAATCCTCATTTTTTTACATAACTATTCCAGAGACTTACTATCTCTAAAATATGCTAATTAAACAGTAAGGATTAAAATAACCACTGGAAATTGCAATGCCTTCATGTTTTGGTCTGCAATATGGTTTTTCTACTTTTTAGTAATGGAAAAGTGCTGGAAAGATTTTGTTCTACTTTCAGTAGAAATAATTCTGTCTGGTTTAGTGCTGGTTTACATTGGTTCATTGTGTATCTGAATCTTAGCTGCGCTGCAGACAAACTGATCTGTTCTAGGCAGAGTGGGGTGTAGAGGAGGTGTAGGAATGGGCTGAAGTATCCTTTATATTTGCCTTTGTATCTAGGGGAGTTGAAAATAGGCAAGAATGGAGAGAAATTTTGTATGGCAGTGCACAGAATTTTGCAAGTTTAATGTGAGCCCTGCAGCAATCCGATGCATTTTAGTTGCTGGTAAGTTTGTTAAACTGTGTTTGAAAAATTGCTCATCTTAGAAGACAGTCTTCTAATCAATATTATCTCCCCTGTGTCAACAGCAACCTTTAAAAAAGCATAATTTTGGCAACCTAATTCTGCTGATGAAAATTTCTGTATTTAAAATCTTTAATTTCTTTTCACCTGCCAAGATGACATAAATTTACTATCCTTAGAAATATGTTAAAAGTTCTAAATACAATCCTCTAAATTAGGCAATCAGTTCTCTAGAAGACACAATTCTTAGAGTGCAGTATTGAGGAGAAAAGATCCATTATGTCAGCATGGATTTATATATATATATAAACACACTCAAAGACTTAAATTTTTGCTTGAGATCAGTCTGAACATGTGGAGAAAGGAAAGTTTGGAAAGGGTTGGGAAAGCTTATCTTAGAATTGTTAACTCTTGGGTCTCTTTAGGCAGATTGAATACTATCTAGTATAAAGTATGTAAGGTAGAGAACATAATATGTAAACCTAGTGTTTTGTGCAATAGCTGTAATTTAGTGCAGTTTCATTCCCTTCTTCTTCCACCAAAAAATGTTTCACCTGAAACAAGCATAAGCAAAATTGTAATTGCGTGTAATTGTAATTACATGTAATCTGTTCTCTGCCTGTCTCTGGTCAGCATCCAGGTAGTAATATCTTCAGCACTGTACGTGCAGTGAGAATTTAAAACCACTTCCATTTTGATTTTTCACTTCTTCTATCAGTTAACATATTCCAGAACTTCTAATGACTTCATTTCCTGCATAGTGATGTGGACAAACCGCTAATTGTGTTTAAATGTAGTGCTAATATTTATCAGTACTGTAGTCTATACAATATTCACCTCAAACTTTGTTGTGCCGATGTGACTGCCAGGTCACTCTCAACTGCTGCTTTTGCTGGTACTTGGAATTTTTTATGCGCTTGAAGGTGTAAAGGGTAATGGTATGTTCACAGGTGCTATGCCAAGATTTGAATTACTATGTACTACAGTCAACTGTATGATTTATAGTGGCAATATTGGATAATGCAGAAGGATTAGAAGCTAGAGTAGCTTGCAGACCTGAGCTGACTCTGCAGAGCTAGCTTGTGGTGTCTTTATGTGTCTGGTTCAATAGATGTTAAAAGCCATTTTGGACTTGGGAAAAGGCATAGCTCATTGACAAAGGTATTGGCTGAATTAATACATTTTCCTGGAACTAGAAATGTTGGCATCAGTTTGCAGTGACAGCTAAGGCAGCTCTGTGCAGGGCTTGATTAGTTCAGCTATACTCTGCATAAAGATGATTAATACCTAAAAGTGGTGTTTGGGCTCTATCTGCATCTGAATTTAAAAACTTTGTTGATTCAGTGTTTCTTGCATAGAACCAGCTTTATGTTTCTGTGTCATGGTTAAAAATTAACTGGCCAATGATTTTTTCTGAGTCGATTGGTGTGTTTTATGTGTACTTAAGAAGAAGGAAATAAATATCTTTATTATCAGTTTGTCTTATAGCTTGTATTCAGAGTGCTATCAGAATTTCTAACATTAACATAGAAATTATATTAATATGAGATAAGAATAACTCCAGCCCATGAGTTTATATCTAATGTCATAGATGGACAAATAAACAGCAATACGAAGAAAAGGCTTTTGATAATTCATTTATAGAAGTGAAGTAGAACCTTTTAAACCTAAGTCTGGGTCCATGTTCCTGGTACAATAATATTTTAAGTCCATTTTAAGAATATTTTTGACTTTTCAATCTAATATCAATAGTATTTATTATTATAATTTAGGTCCTAATCCTGCAAAGTTGTTTCTTAACCTTATACATAATCTGTTGTCCGTCTAAGTCATAAGGTTACTCATAAAGGGTGATAGTAGGCAACATCTATATGGAATTTTCTTAGATCTATTCATTTTGTTAAAAAAGTTTTCTATATATAAATCTTCAACCCTTTACATCAGCCTCTTGTGGATTGCCACGTAGTAAAAATGATGAGTATCTTATCTTAGATGACAAATACAATAGAAACTTCGAGTCAGAGTATGAAGAAAATGATGCATATAATCTGGTTTGAAATTGATGTGACAGCTTGACAGGCTGTTTTGATAAAAGCTTTGGAGTACTGTAAATGGATGTTATCTGTGTTCTTTTACTGCTGACACTGTGGAGCATTCTGTATGTGATTTTAGACTGATTGTTATGACCATCGAACAATGAAGCAAGACAAGGCACTATTTCATGTTCACAGCATGTACTTTGCCTACACTGTGTACTTTTCGCATGGCAGCCTTGCTCACCACGTAGAATAAATCTTGGTTTGCTCAGCACATTCATTATTTTTTGGTGCTGGCGTGGATTAACCGATCTCAGTACTTATTTCTGAGTAAAAGATTGTATTTGGAGAGCAAGTGAACCTTTAACTGACTAGATGCTGTAATAAAAATGAAATAAAATGCAAGTTGGGCATTGCCTTTAATTCACTTTTTCATAGCTGCAAAAGCCACAGTTTTCACCATTGCCTGTGCCCAGGCACAGTGAAAACTTTGATAGTTGCAGATACTTTTCTGTACAGCTGGAAACTGTTATAACTATTTTATTTTTAGAAGAGGAATAATGGCTTTACATAGGCATTGTATATCCAGTACAATGCATTCCGTCTTCTACCTTTAGAGCTATTTGAAAAATCAAGTACTTCCTTTCTGTGATAAATGTGGGGTTCTTTTCTTTCTCCCGTTCCTCTCGGTTTTTCAGTAAAGTGTATTTTTGTTTTCCTTCTCACTCCCCAAAAGTCGGTGATGTTTTTTTCTATGGTGCATTGATCTGTCACATGTTTTTGCTGTTGGTGTTCATAACAGTTTCACTCTTTCGCCAAGGCTGTCCCCTGAAGTCTCTCACATCTCTTCTAAACTGTAACCTTTTCTGAACACTTTCTTCCCTTCCCTGTACTTTCTGAACATCTGACTTGGAGATACTACAGGGATGGGCTGCTGGGTGATTTCCTTGTGGCCTCTGGCATCTCTCTGTGCTTTCCTAACTGGAAAGTGATTTTCAACCTTTATTTGGCCAGGCCTAGGTATTATTCTCATGTTTGGTCTGGACAAAGAATGAAGGAAGCTCTCCACCCTGCTGCTGTTCTGCTGTGGTTTGTGCTGGGCATCATTGCCCATGTGTGTGTTCATCCCTTTTATGCCTCATTTCTGTGGTAGTAGTGACTCTAGGGACTGAAAGTGTGGAATGATGATATATAAGATGGCTGCTAATTTTACTATTTAACATAATGAGCCTGGATGGTAGAATGGTTGACGTGGCCCCTGCCTGCATCATTCTAGCATTGCCAGCTGGATCCCACTCACGGTGTCCCGCCTCTTCCAACTGCAAAAACCTTTACCTTGAACTGTGAGCTGCAGGACTGGATATTGAAAACCTGGGATAGTCCAGGTCAAATCAGGAGAGCTAACAAAATGATTTTGCACTTCTGTCTGAATATAAACTTCATCTCCTACAATTGTAATATGTGAACAGTCACTGGAGAAATTTGTCAACAGTAAAAGTAAGATTTCTGCTCTTTCATAGAATTGTTCACCTCTTCAAGCTTGATTCTCTTCATTATTCTGGTGAATACTGAGAGTGTAAACAGATTGTTTTTTCTACATTTATAATCTGAAAAAAAATACTTATTCTTTACATGCAGTGCTACCCTCTTGGCTTTCTTGGTTGAGCTTCTTAAGAGTTCGGTAGCCATGCAAGAACAAATGCTTGGTGGGAAAGGCTTTCTAGTCATTGGCTACCTCCTTGAAAAGGTATGTTTGGAGATATTTTATCTTTCTTCTTAGTGCTTCTACTGTCATTGTGGTATTTTCAAACACAGCTCAAAGGACTGGTGGAATAAAATATATTTATGGTATAAGATACTTTTGATTTTTAATACTCATAAGTTGTCCTCATGAGTCTTTCCATTTTCCTATATTTTTTAATATGTCAATATTCAAAGAATGAGTTTTCTCGAGTTGATCATGTTTGTCTAATTTCTGCCTTTATATCTGTTTGTGAATCGCTTCAATGTATTTTCATTTGTGTGTCTCCTCTCTGTGTCCCCCAAACTCTTGTTTAGGAAAGTCCTCTTTTTCCCAGTTTGTACAAGCATATCATGGAAAGTGTCATAATTTAGGTTTAAATTTCCTTTTTTTTGTGCATGTTAATAAAAATTAAGTTAATCCTCTGTTGCTCAGTTCTGAAATTGTTGAAATAGTTGCTCTGTGTTTTGAAGAAGAAAAACTGCAAAATAATTTCTTTTCTGAAAGAAGTAGTTGCAAGAGGCATTCCTTTTACTTACTCGCTTTCAGGCATGATAAGCAGTTATCAAAAAACTGAGTTTCGGTTTAGATACTTGTCTGGAGAGCGTTACCTGCCTCCTGGCCCAAAGCCCACACAAAACCCTGTTACTGCGATTTAATAATCTGAAAACAAACTGTTGTCAGGTGTTCTAAGACAGTAATGCTCTTACGGTTGAATCTCATGTCTCTGACATTCTCAAATATCTGCTGCTGTATTATTCATTAGCATGCAGTCAGTGTCACAGTCGTTTGAGAAGAAGTTATGAGCTTTTTGTGTTATCCGATGGTGAAATTAAATAATAGCAGTCTCACCTTTAAAAAGTTACTGAATTTTGAAGAAGAAGGATAAATAGTTTCTCTCATTCTGCTCTCTATGTTGTTTTCAGCTAGGGAAATACATCCTTTTACCTTCACTGAAGTAACACCAAAAACCAGATTATTGTCTATGCTTCTGTATTTTCTGTACTAAGCAAGTGTGATTTAGAATGTCAAAGGACAAGTCTAAGTTTTTTTCCAGCGATGTTTCCTTGTGATATAACCAGAATAAATTTACAAAGCTATTAGCTACAGTTCTGTAAGCTATATACAGGGCAGGATAATGAGCCCTCATGGAGTCCCTTTCTCTTGAACAGAACATTATGTTTTCCGCACATTGAATACATCAATTTAGAAAGAAAGTTATACATGCAATTAAAAAAAAAAGTTTGCCTGCTATTCTAATTAACACTTGCTAGAACCATTAAACTCAGGGTATGTGAAAATTTAAAGGATTTTGATTGATTTCTGTCACAACATAATTCTTACAGCATATGCTGTTTTCTGGGGTTTTTTTATACTATATTCTCTTTAGCTGCAGTTCTTCAAAAAGATATATTATATTTTTCCAGTATATACTTTTACTCAGTTGGCACACATGGTAGGAAAAAATCCTTTTATTTCCTGGCCAGGCTTAAATTTATTATTTGTAGTTTAAATGTAATTCATTTGCATGTGATCAAATATTTCAGAGAGGACAGAAAGCTTTCTTTTCTTCTGACTTGAACTTCAAAATAATATTTTTTCTGTATTAGTTGCAGACTATTTATTGTAAATTGTGGTGTATGAGCCAAAGAAAATTCAGCATCCAGACTGAACTTGTAGTACGCACAATTGAACTTCAAAAAAATAACAAATCTGAATATTCCCAGGCTGTACTACAGCATTAAAAGTAATTGAAACATTTTGCAGAGAAGGCAAGAGAAAGGATGTCTAGTGTGTTTTTCTAGTAGTTCTTTTTGTTAGTTTATAAAGAAATTGGTCAAAGTCCACATGACATGTTGCTGCATAGGAACAGGTCTCAACAGTGATTTTATAACATGTGGTATGAACCTGAAGGATTCTCTTGAAATTTGAGGAAACCTTGAATCCAACTCCTTCAAATACGTACTTGTCTTTAAGAAATAAAACCAAGTCTACCAGTAATGTGTGTTTTCATAGTGAGACATCTAGTTCCATTTGCACACATAATTAACTGAAGATGAGTTAAGGACTTCAGATGGAGTTCTTAAGGCACTGTGCTGTAAAATGTAGAGTCCTGACTGGATTCTAATGAAACAAAACCAAAACTCAACCAAACAAAAAAGGACTTAAAGTCAGTTCTTGATAAATATTTTTAACCTGTTAAATGTAGCCATTAGAAAGACTCTGGATATTGTTAGAAAGTTAAAGTTGCTGACAATTTTTTTCTTACTTTTTTTCCATATTCAATGACATAGAAGCATGAGGTTACATGTATTTAGTAAGGATGAGGCTGGTGAATATGTTGCTTCACATTTCTGCTGTAAATATGTTAAGGAAGAAGGTTTTTCCTTATCTTTGTTCTTTCTGATTATTTTTTCCCCAGTCATCTAGAGTTCATATAACCAGAGCAGTTCTGGAACAATTTTTGTCATTTGCAAAATACTTGGATGGATTGTCTCATGGAGCACCTCTGCTGAAGCAATTATGTGATCACATCCTTTTTAATCCTGCTATCTGGATACATACTCCTGCAAAGGTAATTATACACTTAAATGATGTTAAAACCCTCCCACAATGAAGTGCTGGTATTCTTTTACACCACGGTACTTAGGTTTCTATTTTTTTTTTATTTGGAAACATGATAATAACAAAGATATTTTAGATCATGAAGTCTATACCCTACTTATCTATATTCTCCAATGTCTTTTTGAAGTTCCTAAAAGCAGTTACAATCTCGCCTAAAGTTCTGACTAATTGTATTAAAAGTCTGTTTCTAGAACCCCAGTCTCCTTTTCAGTGGTTGCATTATATTGTTTTCCTAAGGGTTAAGCATAGCAGTATGTATTTTTAGTTGTAAGCAAAATGTGAGATGTCTTTTGTTACACATTCACATAAGCTTTACTTTTAATTTCAATTTTGTATTTTGGTTTGATAAAAACTGTAAAAAGTTATTTTTCTACTCTGGTAATAATGAACTAGTTGTTTTCCTAAATAATCGCAGTTGAGAAGTGTGGACCAAAGTGAAAAGTGGCATGGTCCTAAAATCTGAGAGTATATACTTTCAGTATAAAAAACACAGAATAGAAACCAAACCAGTACTGTGACTTGAATCATAGAAAATTTAGTTTGACCTCTGAAGCTCATTCAGAATGATCTCTGAAGGTCATTTCAGGTGTTAGTCCAGTCCCTGCCCTAACTAAAGTTGTAATTATGTTCTTCATTTTTTATAGAATAGCCACTGTCAATCCTAAAAAACCCTGCAAGTTAACGTTACTAATGCAGAACTTAATGTTAATGTGGATAACTGCTTCATTCTTCAGGTGCAGCTGTCTTTGTATACCTACTTGTCAGCTGAATTCATTGGAACTGCTACGATCTATAACACTATACGCAGAGTAGGAACAGTACTGCAGTTAATGCACACACTGAAATACTACTACTGGGTTGTTAATCCTGCTGATAGCAGTGGCATTACTCCTAAAGGATTAGGTAAGTATAATGCATAAGACAGAATATACAAGCATTTCAGAGGATCACAGAATGGTTTGAGTTGGAAGGGACCGTAAAGATCATCTAGCTCCAGCCCTCCTGCCATGGACAGGGACACCTTCCACTAGACCAGGTTGCTCAAAGCTCCGTCCAACCTGGCCTTGAACTTCTTATATAGGAAGACTGATGATGTAAATGTGTGAAAGCTCCTTAGATCTGTAGACAAGGATGTAAGTAAATGACAATTATTGATACCATTGATCAACAGTAGAAGGACTTATGCAAGTACTTTTAATGTATCATATATCTCTGATGTTAATCCTTTATGTTTTATATGTATTGCCAGAAGATTCCAGCTCTGGTCTTCACTCGCATAGCAAATAACTATGTGGGCGCACTTTAGGAAACATATTAAAATCACTGATTTTTATTCTTCAGCAACAAAGAGGAAATGTTACGTGCGTTTCGTATGCCAAAGAAAACTTTCTGGGGTTTGAATGTGTGACCTTGAAAACAGGATGGAAATTTCTAGTTCTCACATCTGAGATCTCTGAAGCTATATTTGCAGTTTAATAGTATTTTGTCTCTGCCGTTATAAAATAGAGATAGGTTTAACTTTGCTTATAGTCATATGCTTGGCGTAGGAAGCATTGAATGAGAGGGACAAGAAAATACAATAATACATAGAGGCTAAATGCTGCATGTAACAGATGTGTATTAAGCAAAGCATCAAATCATTCTAATCCTATACATTCCAGCTGTAATGACATTACATTTAGCTGACTACTTGTGTAAAGCAGGGAGGATTTGGCTGAAAGTCTCTTAAAATTGATTGATCTAGGAGAACTTCTTAATTATCTTTATTCTGTAACTGTTACTGTCATGCTGAGAAATTGAATAATTGGGGGATGTTTCAGTGCTGCCACATATACAAATGTTTCAGAATGTGTCATGTATGCATAGGGTTTTTCTTAATTTTTTTTTAACGGATAAAAATGGAAGGAACAATTCTTATCCTAGATTAGGTATCCTAATAGGTGGTGAAGTTTTAACTCATTGAAGATTACAGAAAGACCTGCTGTTGGAGCTGGTACTTTGTTTATAATTCTCTGATAGTATATTATTAAATAAAATATATTAATCATAAAATTATTAAAATTTGCTTTAAAAATATCTAGCAAAAACACACTGTTCTGTTCATTTGAATGAAAAGTTTGTGACAGTAGGTTATGACAGTTAACTGTGATGGTTACATGGCTTGTAATTTTTATCAGCGTTAAAATATATTTTCCACTTACACGGATTCTGGATTCACTCTGCTAAAATAGAATTAAGTTCATTTTTGGTACATACAGTAAAGATGTTTCTGTCTGAGCTAAATGTCTGCTAATTATAGACAGTGGAATGCAGGAGTCAGTTGCCTAAATAGGGGTTTCTAGCATCATTTTAGTCTTCTTGGGGCATCCCACCTGCCTTTCAGAAAGATGCAGTGTCCTGTGCATCCTGTGTTATAGAATCATAGAATCATAGAATCATAGAATTGTCAGGGTTGGAAAGGACCTTAAAGATCATCTAGTTCCAACCCCCCCGCCATGGGCAGGGACATCCCCCACTAGATCAGGCTGCTTAGAGCCCCGTCCAGCCTGGCCTTAAAAATTTCCAGGGATGGGGCTTCCATCACCTCTCTGGGCAACCTGTGCCAGTGTCTCACCACCCTTCCTAACGTCCAATCTGAACCGATCCATCTCTAGCTTCAATCCATTCCCTCTAGTCCTATCACTACCTGACATCCTAAAAAGCCCCTCATCAGCTTTCTTGTAGCCCCCTTGAGATACTGGAAGGCCACAATAAGGTCTCCTTGGAGCCTTCTTTTCTCCAGACTGAACAGCCCCAACTCTCTCAGTCTGTCTTCAAAGGAGAGGTGCTCCAGCCCTCTGATCATCCTTGTGGCCCTTCTCTGGACACGCTCCAGCACATCCAGATCTTTCTTGTGCTGTGGGCTGGAGCTTGTTTTGTGTATGTGTTTTGGCTATCTGATGGCATGTCAAATCACACTGATAAGTAAGCACAGGAAGTTGCATCCTGCTCTTAGTTGGCAGAGCCTTGAGAGCCTATCGTTTAAAATGTAGTTGCTTTCTAGACTCCATTGGCTATATTGATTAGATCTCCCTTGATTTCATTGCAAGGTTTGAAGCTGGTTTCGCGTGTTGGCAACTGCACTGTAGATGTCTGAAATAAGGGTGAAATGAATCCCTGCCTGGGACTCCCCTCATAGGACAGATGCTCTTCTTCATGGGCCTCCTCTGGACTCACTCCAACAGGTGCATGCCCTGCTTATGCTGGGTCCCCCAGGACTGAAGGGAGTATTTCAGGTGGACTTTCCCAGAGCAGAGATAGAGAGCAAGGTCAGCTCCATTTACACCTAGACAGGGACCTGGAAAATTGCTGAACTCGTATGAGACTCTAAGTTTGATAATGTTGCTTACTTGGTAATGTTTTCTACTTGTTATTGCTGTAGTTCTTCTGGGTCTGTTGTGGTTTTTTTTTTTATTTGGTTGTTTTGGTTTGGGTTGGGTTGGGTTTTTTTGAGAGCACTGATTGTGGTAGTTTTTTATATTGTTTTTTTTGGAGAGTGTTGAGGGGAGCAGAGTGGTGGTTTGGTTTTACTTGAAGAATTCCTGTACTTCTGTGTCAGGCTACTAGGTACGTAACACTTGAAAAATGTATTGCATATTACAGACTTCCTTCTGGATAGGCTTGCTGTTTTTGGGAAACTGTGACATTTCTTTCTCCAGGAGGTATAGGTTGTTTTTATCTTGCTCAGATCTGCCTCTCTGCAGTTAGCTGTATTTTTGGAGTATTTATATGTGTAGTGCCGGTTGAATAGCTACAAGAAAGTATATCGTGTATTCATCAAAATCTGAAAAGAAGGCATGGGGTACACAATGACACAAAATGAGGAATGAAAAATGAATCAACTCTAAATTAACATACCTATGTCTGTTTTACTTGCCCATCTTTTCTTTCATTCTTACCTATTTTAAGGATATAGTACATTCTTTTCAGCTCCAGACAATATTCTGTTTTTCTCAGGAAGGCAGCCAGGTGGGTCCCTGAAAGTTAATCAGGGTAAATTACCAGTTCGTTGGTGGAGCAGTATGACAACTAAAATCACAGTTACTAAGTCTTTCATAGAGTTGTTGGGAAAGCATTTGATAAACTGTGAGGCCATGCACATTTTCAAAATACATATTATTATCCACTATATCTGAATCTACTGGGGTTTTTTTTAGTTAGATTTACAGAAAAAATCAACTTTTTTAAAGGTTAATCTCAACTTCCTTCCTCATTTCTTATCCTTTTCCTTCCTCTCTGTTGCTTCAGCTGCAAAAAGTCCCATGGAATTGATACAACTATAAGAAAGTACTTTGTAGTACTCTCTTTCCTGTATATCAAAATATCTTTCCTTGTGTTGAGTTGAAGCATGTTGGCTTATCAGAGAGAAAGATGAGTGACGTAGCAAGGGGCATGCAAATCCAGTATAGCTATGGAATTTTCTCTGTGCAGATCAGCACTAGGACTTTTTTTTGCTATTGTTTCACAGGTAGCTTCTGCTTCTAATACAACTGTAATAATTGTGGTGATTTGCAAGCAAATGGCTGTAGAAATATAATAATTGCTAGCGTGATTTAATTTCACAATTTAATTGCTAAATTTAAATTCATATTAACTTAATTTCATATTTTTTTTTAACAAATTCACGTTAATTACTTTTAATTCCTGAAAACTTATTGAAGTGGTTAATAACCTGGATACTGTATTGATTTTCTTTACTAAATTCTCTTTCTTTTAACATTAAGTGCAATCTGCCAGTGTGATATGAAGATCTGGCTGATTCAGGCTTATTGTCTTAGAACACTATAAAGTAGCTGTTGTTACTATGCTTAATGCTTTTCTTATTTCTACCTTCATTTTCAGCAACTCCTAACTTCACCAATGCTAATACTTTAAAAATCTTAACTGTTCCAGGATTTTGTTGTGTGTTGATTTTTATTAGCCTGCATACAGCTACTACTGCCTCATGTAGCTGGCAAGTTTATAATTCTTTAAAATGTAGAATAATGTGTAAAAAGAAGTTTGTGAAAGTAAGAAACTTACACTGTAAAAATACAGTTATGTGAATGTTAGAGTTTCTGTATTTTAAGTAGCATTTACTATTTCAAAATGGAAAAAAGGACCTATTTTCTATGAACAGTAACCTTACTGTAAGAAACAGAAAAATACTATAATGTAACAAAATGGCATATGATCTTCCCTTATCAGAGGCAACTGAATCTGTAAGCTAAGTTGACATCAGACTCTTCAGATCTGAAGAAGACTTTAATGGAAATCTTGCCAATATCCGAAATTTTCCTGTTATAATGCCCTCAAATGATTTGCTGTCATATTAGGAAGTGAGCTTATTCATGCAGACGTTTTAGTAGTGTGATGCTTTCTTGTCTTCTAGGCATATCATTTTATCTGCGGAAATACTGAAACATTTTTTAATATTAGTAGTTTGATTTACTATTACTTGCAGACAGTTGCTCTGATTCAAGGTTTTATTGCCTTCCTCTGTCCTAATAAAACGCAAAGTAGGTGCGTTTTCCTTACTGACAGCCTAGTAAACCTTGTTTAAAGCCAAAGGGGCTCAATATTGAAGCTTCCCATTTGGCTAATGCTATTTTCTTATAAAATGAAAGTTTTCCCCTTGCTTCTACTGTTATTCAACTAATAAAATATGATGTGTAAATGTATTGAATTATTAAAAGGCTCAAATATTTATTTCAAATTTAGTTTTGTATCTTCGCTTTCATTATTGCTTTCCTGTTTCAAGATGGTGTTTCTTCTTGGATTCAGTATACTAAATGTGTATTGTTTTGTTTTCTTCTGTGCTGTTAGAAACCTTTTTCAAAATATATACTTATCAGTTTGCTAGATAATTAATTATTCATACTAGA